TTCGCACCCCTTCTCTTCTGCTCTAGAAATGTAATTTTTAATGTAATCCATTCATTTCGTGGTAAATTCATAGTTCTCAGGCCTAGTATGTGCCTGGAGAGCTGACCTGAACACTGGCCCTGCCTTCACACGGCTTGGCTCCGGGCTGAGGGACGGACACCAACCGAACACACACAGAGGGAGCAAACAAGCTGCTTTCCTTTTGATTATCTGTGCAAGTAAGTAATGGGAAATGAAACAAGGCCAAAATAAAAAACAATCATGCAGATGACAGATGATACGGGAGCTAAATGCTATGAAGGAGAAGTTGGGAAATTAAGAAAACCTGTAAGGCGACCCAAACAGGGTGCTCCGGGCCCAGGGAAGGGTCCTCTGTGGAGGAGGCACGGAACCGAGACAGACCTGGCCACGAGTCCCTGAGAGGTGCCCTAGCTATGTGAGGGCTTTTGTTTGTTCTTTGGCCACGCTGCACAGCCTCCAAGACCTTAGTTCCTCAACCAGTGAAAGGGCCAAGTCCTAACCACTGGACTGCCAGGGAACCCCTCAGGTTCCCATTCTTTTTTTTAAATTATCATGGCAAGATGACCACAACATAAAATTTGCCACTTTCACCATTTTTAAGTGCACAATTCTGGAGCACTGACTAAATTCACAATACTGCACAACCACTTACCTCTATATTTCTAAAACGTTTACATCATTCCCAAACAGAAATCCTTTTTTTTTTTTTAATGGAAGTATAGTTGACTTATACTTAACTATATTTATAAGTATAGTTAACTTATAACTACGTCAGTTTCTGAAAAAATTCTGTTCTCAGTAAGCAGTCCTTCCCAATCCCCACCCCAGCCCCTGGCTACCTCTAACCTACTTTCTGTCCCTATGAATTTGCCTTTTCTGGACATTTCATAAATATCAATAGGTCACAGGCTATGTGGCATTTTCTGACTGGCATCTTTTTTTGATCTGGACTGTTTTTAAAGTCTTTATTGAAATTGTTAAAATATTTTTTCTGTTTTATCTTTTGGTTTTTTGGGCATGAGGCTTGTGAGATCTTAGCTCCCTGACCAGGGATCGAACCCGTACCCCCTTGTGTTGGAAGGCGAAGTCTTAACCACTGGACCACCAGGGCAGGGTCTGGTAGCATCTTTCACTGAGCATAAGGTTTCCAGGCTTCATCCATGCTGGAGCACGTCCCGGTACGCCATTCTTTTTTATGGCTGAATAATGTTTCACTGGGTGGATGAACCCCATTTTGTTGATCCCTTCTGAGCTTGTGGACATCTGGGCTGTTTCCGCTTTGGTTACTGTGACTAGAGCCGTATGTCCATTTCCAGCTGCCCCGGATGGGAGCTCAGGAGACTAAATAGACCTACAGCCACAGTGACACATAGAGATCATCAGGCCACCAGGCTGCCATGGTGGCTACAGTGAGTCCCATCTGGGGGATCTATCTGCTCAGAGGATCCTGAGATAGAACGCAGGGTGAACACCTGGCCTGACACGTAGGAAAATCTTATGATTTTCATCAAATGCAAGGAAAACAAAGCTCAAAACACCAGCTCCACAGAACAGACCCTGAGCTCCCCAGAAAGACTCTTGGGCTATTGACAAACATTCCACTTTCTGACCTATTCCATCTTATCTAGCCTTGTAAATATCTGGCTCTGTCTTTGTTTTATTTTTATTAATGCACAGAGAGCGGTATTCCCCTGCCAGGCCCTAAGCTGGAGGCTCTTGTGGTCTTTCCTCTGATGTCTCCCAGGCTGCAGGCAAGGCAACGGAGGCTCACAGATGACAAGCCTTCTTCTCCTTACGAGCCTCCTGAAAGGGCCTCCCCGTCTTCCTCTCTGGCACTGTGTCTAGAGCAGGAAAATGCATACAGCGTCCAGGAAATTCCCCGGACCCCCTCTGCCCACTCTGCCAAGGGGCGGGGCTTCAGGAAGGGGAGGAGCCAGGATGCAGGATGCTGGCAGCCACACTGGTCCAGGTTTAACACTCAGCTCTCCATGCAGTCTGTGCCAGTTTCCATGGTGTAAATATTCCCACCGGGGCTGATTTCAAGCCACCAGTGTGAGACTGCTGAATAAGGAGTGGAGAAGAGATGTGTAAAAGCTCCTGATGGATGGTATTTCTACCTCGTAGGTGCTACAGACATGAATACTCTTGAGAGCGGGGAGCATGGTTAAGATGTAGCAAGATAATTAGGAAGTAATATGCTTCTGATAAGGAGGACTTCCTTTCTTTTTCATGTAAATTACATAAGTTTATACGACTTAATTTTTAGTAAGGGCTCTGTTTAACTCTGGAGTAGGTACAAGCGGGCTTCACATAAACCTGGAAGCCCACCTCCCCTTGCCCTGACCTGTCCCAGAAGCCACAGCTGAAGAGCTGACTCAGCTTAGGTGGGGCAGTGGGGGCCACGTGGGAAGTCTGGCCCCTGAATATGCAGGGGCTGCTTCCTACACTCCTAAATTCCCTGCTGGACATTTGCATGGAAATTAGAATCAGAACTGAAAGGGTCCTGGAGGTCAGCTGATTTTCTGCCTTCCATTTCCCAAGTGGAAATGAGGCCCAGAGATGGGCAGCGAGCAGCCCAAGGTTGCTCAGCTCATTAGAGATGTCACTGAGATAAATTCCTGGGCCTGGTGCCCTGCTGTCTCCCTAACCCATTGAGTCACCAGTCAACAGCCTATGTTTCCCCACGGGCTCTCTCCAAGGTACATTCTTGGCACAAATCTCTCCTGTGTCCTGGAGCTGGGGAGGGAAGCAGGTATCTGTTGATAACAGGAGAGAGTTTCAATCCAGTGAATACACACTCAAAGCACCTATGTTCTGATAAACAGTGGCTAAGTAATTTGGTTCCTGAAGCCCATCCAGGCATGTGTTTTTAGAGACTTCCCCCACCCCAGTGCACACTGCCCCCAATCTTCCCAGCCTCCTCATTCCTCCTAGTGAGATGTCATAACATTGGCTCCTGTGGTGCTCTGGGTAAGGTAGAAATGAGACCAGGTGATGTATCAGAAATTTCTCTGCGGTCCTAGAACCACAGAACTAGATACTTTGTGGCCTAAATTGGCCTGCTGAGCCAGTGAATAGCACAGGAGAGCCCAATCTGACAAGGGTTGATTCTCCTCCCTCCAAACACCTACCATCATTTCATGTGCTACTACGCTTTTCTACGCCCACATGGCCTCCTGCCTGACCTGTAAAAGTGTAAGCTCTGGAGGCTGAGATTAGCCTCAGTACAGCTTCATACATCATACCATGCCTGGCATCATTAAACATTCCCTTTACCCTCTTCTCTGCCTGGAAAACTCCTATTCATCCTTCAAAGCCCTGGGTTGAATATCCCCAACACTGGAAAACCTTCCCTGACTCTCCTGGCACAGAGCTGTACATATTCTTCTGGGCTTCCTTTGCATTTGCCCATAATTCACCCACAAGAATGTATGGGATGCCTTCTTCACAGCAGGCACCTGGCAGGGCACCAGGAACATTGCACTGAGGGAGACAAACTCAGGCCCTACTGTGAAGAGCCTACACCCACTCTGGAGAGCCAAACAGCTCCCAATTTCATAATTATTTGAGCAAAAGTCACCAAGTCACATGGACCACTCAGTATGTGCTGTCTTTGATGGGTATGGAGTCATTCAGTCTTCACCCTTAGGCTGAGAGTGTTAGTAGTATCTTCCTGAACCTTCTATGCCTCTGTGCTCCCTTTTCGGGGGGGGGGGGGGCCCNCCTAAAATGACATCCTCCCCTCAGCAGACACACGACATCAGAAATCCTGTGGGTTTAGTCTCAGACCACCACAGTAAAGCCAATCCTGTGAATGTTTTGGTTTCCCAGCGCATCTACAAGTTATGTTTACATTATGCCACAGCATATTAAGCGTGTAACAGCATTACATCTAAAAAATATGCAATGTACACACCTTAATCACAAAAATACCCTATTGCTGAGAAATGCTAACTGTCCTCTTAGCATTCAGTGAGTCGCAATCTTTTCACAATAGTCACATCAAAAATCACTTATCACAGATCAATATAACAAACAGAATAAAAATACAGTGGGAAATAGCGGGAGAATTACCAACGTGGGATGCAAAGACACAGAGCCACAAATGCTGCTGGAACAATGATGCCGGTATACCCACAGACCTCCATAGGAAAATCTGATGTGCTTGGATACATTTTCCTTTCACTTCTCATTCATTCTCTGCAACCCCAGGCCTGTGGGGGTAACACGAGTTCCCCAAGGCTTGCAGATACAAGTTGGCATCCTCACAGCCAAGGGCAACCTGGGTAAACAGTGGCCATCTAACTGCCTATTTGTTTAAACAAACTGAAAGGAATGCACAGGTATTTTCTCAGATGAGATCACTGCTGCTCAGAGATGTCAAACAACTTACCTGAAGTCACAGTCTGTGAGCAAGAGGACAGATCCAAACTCAGGGCTGCAAGGCCCATGCTTCTCACCTCTGGTAATGGTGTGCCATCGCCATCCCTCTATGGCTGTCACATGTTACCCAGCTGCTTACCCCATTCAATGAGGCCACCCTTAAGGGCAGGAGCTGCCTGCTGTCTCTGTGTTGTTCCCACAGGACCACACATGGAGCCTGGCCCAGAGCAGTTTCCACTAAGTATTTACTGAGTGAGTCAGGAAGCACAGGGAAACATAATTGCATCCTATCAACATTTGGTTATTGATTGCTGAGAAACAACACTCAGTTTTAAGTCCTTGGACTCTTAAATTAGGTGCTGTTTATCAGGAGAAAGTAACCTTGGGTAGGGAAAACCCATCGCTGTCCCCCCTCCATGTGTTTTTAGGGGCCCCTGGCTTGTCTATTTCCAGGCACAGAGCCTTTTGAGGGCTGTGAGGTCCATCTGTCTGCCACCCGACTTTGGCACAATTCAGGTAAAGACGCCTGCCCCGGCCTGCCCGCATGTGGGGGGCAAGAACTACCCATCTCCCCCCGGCCCCCAGCCCCCCCTCACCTGGGCACTTACACGGGACCTCTCTGCCAGCCTCGAGGGCAATGCCCGCTTCCAGAGGTTCTTGGTGGAAGCGGCTTCAAGGAGCAGCAGAAGCAGGAAGCACAGAGTCCAGCTGACCTTTCTCTGGCCGCTGCCCATCCTGCAGCTGGTTTGAGGTGTTTCTTCTCCGGATGGTCAGAGGAGAGGGGTGCTCCGGCCGGTGGGTCCTAGAAGGGGGAGCAGAAGTGTGCTCGGGCTGCTAGAGAGTTTCTCAGCTCCACTCGGCCGGGTCCTTGGGATCATGTGTCCGCGCCCAGCCCAGGCCCCCACCCCCATCCCTTGGTGGGGGCTGCCCGCCGGGTTATTTTTAGCTTGCCCTATTCCATCTGGCCCCAGAGACTCCCCGCCAGACGTCTGCAGCCGAGGCGGCTTAGAAGGCAGCGGCAGCAGACGGGGGCATCATGCTGCTTGGAGACGTGGCTGGGAGTGGCCCTGTCACACGGGGATAATGAGCACTTCCTTGCAGGCTGGGCAGTCCCCTCCCCAGGAGAGCTGCTGGCTTTGGGGGCTGGCTGGGGCCGGGTGGGGGTGGGCACCCAGGGGATGGGCTTGGGGCTTCCGGCTGCTACTCTGTCCAAACTCGAAGCTGGTCTGACAAACTCTTCTGCCCACAAAACTTCTTCGCAAGACTTCTTACTGAACGGGGCCAGCGGAGCACATGGCTGAGGAAGAGTGCCCTTGAACCCTGGAAACCTCCTCTCCAATATGGGCATGTAGACTGTTACTCACACGTCATGGGTCTCTCGGGAGAGTTCTGTACATTTGTGCAAGTAAAGCACTTCACGGACATCCTAACAGTGTTATAAATGTCAGCTTGTGTGTGTTTTATACACAACTCTGTATTTCATAAACCTTGTACTCTTATTGCCTGTTCTCAGCAACCCCAAGACCAGCGTTGCTATGATGTCCATTTTACAGATGGAGTAATAGAGGTATGATACTTGCCTGAAGTCAGGCAATGGTGGCACGGCTGGGGCTCCACACCTGCCCTGTCTGATCACTGTGATGCCACCAGGGGCAGCTCTGGGCTTAGATGCCCCTGGGCCGGGTCCCAGCTCAGGCTCGGTCTGTGGGGTGCTGACTGCTCCTCACTTCTCTCATCTGAGCCACAGAGTTTGCGGTCACTTGTCACAGTGACAGTGGGAAGTTCCTATACCCTGGAGTGGGATGTAGGCTCTCAAGGTCCAGTCCCCACATCTCTCTTACTGCATGCACCCCAGTGCCCTGCACAGTGCCAGGCTGCATCAGCACCCAGGAGGCACTGGCCTGATGCACAGAATAACTCATCACCATGATGACTCCACAAGGGCATCTACGGACGAAGAGATGGTCATAAAAGTCAGGCATGTTTCCCGAAGCCCCCCTTCATGGCTGACCTCTCAGGCATCCCCTCAGGACATCTCCCAGGGCCTGGCACACAGCAGGTGCTCAATAAATGTTCTTCAAGTGAGCTATCAATTCCTTAGCTGGATTTGGACCACAGAGACCCAGGACGCCAAGCAATGTCCCAACAGTTAATGTCCTGCGATTGTTAACTTGTGAAAATGCTCCTCCCCACGCCTTTACCACAAGAGCGACTATTCTGGGAACACGGCCACCCTGTGGGTTTCATGTGGAAGGAGAAAGGGCTCTGAGACAAGAAATAAACATGGTACAAATCCCCCCAGGAACGCAGCGCTTTCCTTTGATCAGGGTGAGGCAGGGTCTCGGCCTGACAGCCTGCCTGGATGCTCCCAGCTGGGGCCGAGGGGGCCCCTGAGGATGTCAGGGCGGGCGGCTCCTCCCCTATTCCTGCCAAGCCTCAGAACTTCATGTTCCAAGTGGCAGAGGTCCTCCTGGCTGATCTGAGCTCTGGAGACCTGGACTTGATCCTGAGCTTAGCGGGCTGCCCTCCCGGGACTCATCACGCTGGAGTGTGACTTCCTGTAGAACTGTGGGCGAGGTTTCCTCTGGGAAAGCCCTGGAGCTGGTGAGACCTTTCATCTCCTCCTCTGCTGCCAGGGGCCAGCTGGCGAGGCCTGCCAGCGGGGTCTGACTGCTTTCCTCCCTCCAGAAAGACAGGAAAATAGCTCCCTTAAAAATACAGAGGGCGCAAGTGCATAGTAGGGCCTCTCTCTAAGGAGCAGAGAACATGGCCCATGGTTACAGGGTCTAGGAGGAAATCCTGCCCTTCCAACCCCCATAAGCTTCCCCACCAGATCACCAAGGCAATGATTCCTTCCCCTAAAAGGCAGAACATTTCTTCCATAGTGAACCAATCAGGCAAGTAAGTACTTTAGGAAAAGGGACAGGGAGTATTAAATTCATACTTTATACTAGAGTGTGAGTGACTTCCAGCAGAAAGAAACATAGAAGCATAAAAGGGAAGAACAGAGAACATTCATTCAATTCGTTCCAACATTTGAATACCTACTATGTGCCAGACTGGCAAGAGTAAAACCAGGCCTAGCCCCTGCTTTTACAGGGCTTAACAAATGGAGGAGTCAGATATTAAACAGTGTTTTTAATAAACACTTTGATGGCACTTTTTGGTGCCAGGTAGTTTCAAGTGCATTAAAAAAATACTAATTCATTTAACCTATCACAACTCTATTAAATAGCTATTATCATCCCATTCTACAGATAAGGAGACTGAGTCTCAGACATACAGTGGAGTGCTTTAAAAATATTCACTCATTTAATCTATCAAAATTATGTTATGTCAATACTCTTACTATCCCCATTTTACAGACAGGAAAACTGAGGGTCAGAGAAATGAACAAACTGCCAAACTGTTCAGTTCAGTTGCTCAGTCGCATCTGACTCTTTTTAACCCCATGTACTGCAGCACACCAGGCCTCCCTGTCCATCACCAAGTCCCAGAGTTTATTCAAACTCATGTCCATCAAGTCGGTAATGCCATCCTACCATCTCATTCTCTGTCATCTTCTCCTCNTTCACTCTTTTTTCACGTGCCAAACTGTGGACAGTAACTGGCAGACCTGGGGCTGCAACTCAGACATTAGCTTTCAAAGTCTGGGCTCAAAACCACTGCACAGTGTACCCACAGGAGCTAAGCTGCAAGGTGGGCAGATGGGCTGCGGGGGAGGCGCTGTGACCGAGTCACAGAAGCCAGCAGAGGTCTCCCAGGAGCGGCCGGACGCCTGAGAAGTGAAGGACGAGGCTGGACAGAGGACGGGCTGGAGGTGCCGACCGATGGGCTTAGAACACACTGCTGCCCAGGAAGAGGGCGGGGGCAGGAGGAGAGCCTGGGCTGGCCCTTACCCAGAGGTGAGGTGGTGCTGCCATCCGAACAGAGTCACATTGTTCCATGCGTCCTTGGTGCTTTTGCCTTCCTGGGCCTTTCCTCTATTAAAAAGAAAATAATAGTAACAACAATCTTTTATGACTGCACTAATAAAAAGACAAATATATTCCAAGCTGGAATATATTCTTTTTATTTTCTTTCGGCTTTTTTTTTTTTTGGCTGAACTGTGTGGCATGCGGGACCTTAGTTTCCTGACCAACAGTCGAAACTGTGACCCCAACAACTGGACTAAGAGGGAAGTCCCTATTTCCTTTGATTTTAAAAGAATTTAACACACCTTTCTGGGCCCATAAAAGTCTAGTAGGCCCTGGGCTGTGTGCCTGAAGATGACCCTGGCCCAAATACTGCTGTGTGACGTTAGGCAAGGTTTTGCACCCTCTGAGCCAGAATTAAATAGACGATAGGTGAGTCTGTGTAGGAGGTGCCAGGTCTCAGCAGTGTCCTCTGCGAGAGGAGGGAGGGCCGCTGGGAAAGCCTGCTTAGCTGGCCTGAAGCAGAGCCCGCCCTGCTCCGCTCCAGCCAGTGAACGACAGCAGATGTCCCCTGGCCGCCCGGCCTTGGAGACCCCAGCCCTGACCTCACTGCACCCCGCCGCCCTGTCCCTGACCTCCGCTCAGTATCCCTCTCCTTCCTCGACTCTGCTCTCCAGCAGGGAAACTCCCCACTTCTCTCCACTGCTCCCCTCCTCCTGCGCCCCAGAGTGACTGGTCTGGGACCAGGCTCCCTGGGAACTGACCCTCCGCTCTGGCCACTGGGACCTCCCTCACTTTCTCTCGCCATTCAGGATGGCTGCGGGGCGAGGTCCCCTTCAAGCAGCAAGAAGGCATGAAGCCGTGGGACACAAATGGACACGTTAGGTGGGGAGGCTGGCTGCCTCGTGGCCCCTTCCTCCCACAGCTGAGACTGGGACCGGTTCCACCAGCGGGCTCCGCCCCTCGCTAGCTGCCGGACCAGGTCACTGCTGGCTTCTCGAGGTTTTGCCCACAGGACCTGGACTCATCCTCAAAGCAGCGTTTCTCTCTCTGCCGCTTGTTTGTCTTTCTCCCCCAAAGCACCTCTGATCATGAAACCCCTCCCCATCGCCCCTCCTGAGCTGAAGGCCTTGCCACGGTCCTGTGGGGACGTGGATAAAAACACACTCCCCAGGGCCTTGCCAGTCTGGACTGGCCTTTCTGGCTGCATCACCCATGGGAGGGGCTGTCAATCACATCCACACCTGGGTCCAGCCCAGATCAAGGGAATCAGAACCCGGTGGTTTCCAAAGTTCCCCAGCTGACTCTAATGAAGAGCCAGGGTCAGGAGCCCTGACAAAGTTGGCCCCTCCCCAACCAGTCCCCACCCCGGCCTTCAGGGCCGTTGTTCCCGCACATTCCCTCCTGCTTCTCCCTGCTGCAGCATGCCAGCCTTTCCCTACACACACACACCATGCGCCCAGGCCACAGGGCCTTTGCATATGCTATTCCCACTTCCCAGCACTCTTCCTGGTTTACTTTGCTGAGTAAATTTTTTTTATTTTTTATTTTTTGCTGTTCTATGTGGCTTTGACAAAGGTCTGTATAGTCAAAGCTACGGTTTTCCCAGTAGTCATGTACAGGTGTGAGAGTTGGACCATAAAGAAAGCTGAGTGCCAAAGAATTGATGCTTTCAAACTGTTGTGCTGGAGAAGACTCTTGAGAGTCCCTTGGACAGCAAGGAGATCAAACCAGTCCATCCTAAAGGAGATCAGTTCTGAATATTCATTGGAAGGACTGATGATGAAGCTCCAATACTTTGGCCACCTGATGAGAAGAGCCGATTCACTGGAAAAGACCCTGATGCTGGGAAAGACTGAGGGCAAGAGGAGAAGCAGGTGACAGAGGA